TTTCTTGTTATGTAACCCACCTCATTGATATTGTATATGTATATAAAGCTATCCCATTAGTACCTTCTACATCCAGAGACAATTCCTGCCTGGAATTTTCCCCCCTTTAATATCTCTGCAGCAGAACAACAGAAGCTTGGTTCAGGTCTTAAGGCTCTAAATTGAAGCCAATCCCCTTGGCTTTGAGTGTGAACTGTCAAATTTCTTTTATCTCTTAATGTGTCCACATCCACTCAGTATTCAAAGATATGCAAAAAAAAACCAGCAGGCAAAACTTTTTTTTTGGTCTTCAAAGGTTAAATTTTTCCAGTTCTAGGCCTGCTACTGGACTCACAATGTTTATAGGCCTTGTATTACTGTAGGTGACTAATAGCTTGGATAAAAAAGTGGGACAACTTTATCAATTTGAAAAAACAATTTTTGAAGACTGCACTTGGAATTAATTTTGTGCCTCCCCCCTAAAAATGATAAAAGTTACTGAAAAGCCAAGAAAAAAACCTATTTGCTATATAAAGCCTTTAAGCACTTCTAGAGAGTCTTTTCTGCTTTCAGGCCAAAATAAAACTTTGGAGTGGCCTTCAGTTGTAAAACAATAACCACTGATAAGAATCTGAATGGTTACCCTTTCTGCGTCAATGATTGACAGCTGGGATGCAGGCAAATGGCAGCCAGAGGCTCCCAGAGGAAGTCCCATCCTCTAAGGACTGAATGGCTGAAAACACACCGAATGACAGCGTTTTTCACCAATTAGACCAGCCTTTTTTTCAGACGGGCTCGTTCAAAAGCCCCGCTTGCAAAAGCCAGTTCGTTTCAGTTTCCTCCAGGTTTATAATATAACATCACTTTATTAACCCTTTACAATTTCTTGCATTAGAAATGATCTTTTCGCATACCCCAGCTTGCTCTCCATGAGACACACAGACAGGGAGAGAGCCTGGGGTCAGAGCGCAGGGTCTGCCATTGTACAGCCCCCCCTGGAGCAGTTGGGGTTCAGGGTCTTGCTCAGGAGCCCAATGGAGTAGGATTCCTCTGCCGGCTGCGTAACCCTACGTTACGTTACATTAAATGATACAGTTTAAAAATTTAATATTCTGTTTTTAGATATTATTAAATGTATCTTGCTAGACAGGCAATACCTATTTTATACAATTGGATGTTAAGGCATTTTGTTTTTCATAAAACATTTGTACATACCACAAAACATTACAACATTTTATGCATGTGCCTAGAGTTTCCACAGTATGTATATTGTGTGTGTATATATATTGTATATTGGTACTGTGTCTTTTGTTTTCCTTCAAGACCTAGGCTTTAAAACACTCCCTGGGGAATTCTGCAGACAGGAATGCTCTACAGAATAGCAAACTGTATATCCATTGGGAACAGCCACTGTATATAGCAGAGGAAAAAAATATTGAAAGCCAAAACAGCTTGATATTAGTTATATAATACATTAGTTATGCACAGTATCTAATTTATGTTGGATGACAAACAATTTTTACACTTATCAATTTTGCAGAAACATGTCAGCAGATTTCCCCAAGGAACAAAGGCTAAAACTGGAGTATATGCATAAAACATAACATCAATACACATTGTAAAGTGTATACATGCATACAAAGACGGATACCAGGTAGGTTCATATGTCCATTATCCACCAAATGCACTTCACATGTAGGATGCTGATTTTCTTTTCTCCGTTTTTTTTTTGCACATCCATACACTTACTGTATCACTGCTTCACAAGGGTTTTGAAGCTTTACTTAATTAGGTTAATTTGTTTCTGATCCCACTCCTGAACTGGCACTTGGACCTTGTTGTCTATATTGTCCATATTATCTCTGCTGAGATTGGTTAACCCTGGAGATCCAGGCCATCCCTCAATTGTGTGATTTTATAGACTTCAGATGTGAATTTTGATCAAATTACTTATTTGGGTTGTTACATGAATGTGTAGATATGGTCTTGGATAGCTACATGATGTTGGTATTTTCTTTTAAAATGATCATTACACTACTCAATGGAACACATCACCCGTTTTAGTGACAAACAAAATGAAAATTTTCCAAACGTTAAAATGTGTAACAAGCTACCAAGCCACATTGTGGAAGTTGGTAACGTGGCGTCTTTAAAGAAATTAACTTCTATGTACCAAATACAGTAGGTTAGTTGGGCTGAAAGGTCTTATCTCATGGATTTCTTGAATTCTTAAGTTTTATAAAATCATAGTTAAGGGTGCGGGAGGCATGGTGATAGTGCTTAGCATTGCTTCCTCATCTTGCTGGTGCCCTGGATTCGGTTCCTGGGGAGCATGGAGTTGGCATGTTCTCGTTGGGTTTTGCCTGGTTTCCTCCTACAGTGCAAATGCATACTAGTCAGCTAAGTTGCTTCTGTGAAAGTTGGCCCTGTTTTGAGTGTCTGTGTGTGTCCAGCGATGGACTGACATCCTGTCCATAGTTTATCCTGCCCGTTGCTTGCCAGGATAGGCTCCAGCTTCCCTGTGAACCTGTATTGGATAAAGTGGATAGGATGTAGTTAAGGGTGAACTGTGGTTCCTCAGGAACAAGGGTGGCCATTCCCGATATATACCCAGCATAAGTACTACAGAAGCAAGCTGGCCTTTTGCATTTCCTTGGGAATATTCTAGCAGCAATTACCTTGATAAAAGTATTCTACGAGGGTCGTCATGAAAACCTACGACAGATTAATCTTGGTCTGTGCAGCTGCCAAAGTAATGAATGCATCAATAAAAATGTGTAAGAGCCCAGTCAGAGTCTTAATACATTTAAGATTGATGTTATGCTTGTTTCTTAGCAAACTGCTTCAATTTTAAATTGTTTCAGAACAATGAATGCTAATGTTTCTTTTACTTTGAAATTGATTTTTTGTATATCGACTCTTCCTAATTTATATCACTCCTTAGGTTTAGGTTTTTGAATAACAGTTAAATTAGTTACGTCCTCCAAAAGTAGGGAGGATTAATAAGCACTTAAAAAGCAACAAATGCAATTCAAAACGGCTTCAACATTGGAACAGAATTCAGCATTAATTTCAGGAGAACACATGGCAGAACAGGGTTTTGCTGGCTAGCAGAAAAAATAAACTACAGAAACAAAATGGAGGAAATACTGTGCTAGAAGATATGTATGAAAAAACACTTGCGTCTTTATGTTGAGACATTTGTTAAGATGCAAAACAGGACAAACAATGAATGTATAGAAGGTTCAAAATGAATAGTTAAGATGTGGAATTAATGAGATGCTGTTTAACTGTATTTATAAGACCTTATTTACAATACTGTCTGCAAGTTTGATAGAAGCTAGAAGAAACAATCACTTTTTCTGCGATGTACTTTAAAACTTTTGCATTAAACATCAGAGGAAATGTACACTTGTTGGCTCTTATTAGTAATCTAATTACAAGTAACCTATAAATACTTCTATCTATAATATCATTCCTATACAATGATGTCAGATGCTAATGCTATGCACTTACTATACATCAATGCATGTGTCCAGATTTGTATTTTTTCTTCTGTTAATACAATAAGATACACTAGTTAATCAATTAATCAGAAAATGGCACTTATGTGAGTGATGTAAATTATAAAAATGATTAAATGATTGAGGAATGTGTTCAGTATTATAAATATGTAATGATAAAGTAATGCTTAAAAGATAATTTGAAAAGCAATATGATGAATCATTTTAATGTAAAATACTATATATATAAACCTTTGAAAAATAACAGAAACCAGGACTAATAGTTCCAAATACTGGGACATTAAATGTGTGAGCGCAATCATATTTGGTGAGAAATATATCTATTGTCTAGTACACCCAAGTAAAGTAATGCATAATCCTTGGATGACTGCTATAAGCTTGATTTAAATGGGAAGTGAAATTCCTTGCACCAAACGTAAATAGAAATGGTTATACTAGTGGCTAAACTAATATCCTTTCCTGAAAAGAGAATTTTGACATTGGCTGGACTTGAATTCCATGTAGAACAGTACAGCGCTGCACCACCATATTTGTCATTGACAGGCAACCTTCTGTCCATGGAACCTTGCTTAAAAATGTAGGTGCAAGCTCATTTTGTACTGTGGCTTCGAGATGACATTCCATTCTATGTCTAGTGTGAACAGCTCTTCAAGCTATCTGTTGAAAAGGCCGAGCAGTGTACAGATAAACGCTTCTTCTACATAATTACTTGTGCAAAAGACAAGAGCCTGGGATGTTGAAATCTAGAGGGTGACATTAGCTCAGGCAATGGAATGGTCCTTAATTATACTCTGTGGTATCCAAGCTCTTGACTTACAAACATCTTACAATCTTGCTTGGTTACACTGAGTATTTTTAAATTCAAGTGCAACACAGCTGGGCTGGAAGGAAACTTTTGTTTGTTGAAATTGCCAATATTATTTCAACTCCACAGTGCACTCTTGTGTTATTCAAAATTAGTTAAATGTAATTGGACTTGGATTTCTGGTCCCTATATATAGTAAAGATAATTTTATTTCTTAACGGGAGGTGTATTGATTTGAAAGGGCAGTGTGAAAAATATTTTAAATGAATCTCTCTTATGGGCAACTGTGAATATTGGAAGTATGATTACTTTAACTTATTGCTATTTCCAATATTACATACTAATTATTCCCACTGATAGGACCATTGTTAAAATGATTAATTGTCATATTCATTTTTATTTTGAAACATATGTTTTTAATGTTTCCTGTTGTATTCTCATTATTTTTCCTTGTTGCATTACCGTTTGGAATAAATGTCTCAGAAAAATAACTACTGAAAAGATCAAAGTACACGCAAGCTGTTTCAACTGCAGAGAAATAAATATATATATATGGAAAAGGATTTAACACATCTGGAACATAAATGACAGTTCAGCCACAAGCTAGACAGGGACCAGCTGGTAAAGTGTAGATAGTATAAGCTCAAAGTAAAATTCTTAAAAAATCAAGTGATACACTTGGACTTCTCACAACTAGTATATTTATTGACGGCCTCCATCCAAGGCATTGTATTATTTTCACCCAAATGTCACATTTATAAATAGTTCAAAATGTTTTTTTACTGATAATGCTCAAAACAAGAAAATTACATACATTTTCTTCTACAGCAATACATTTTTGCAAGTATCCTATCCAAAGACATAAGAAAATACTATTAGAAGAACCTGTAACTTGTGACTCAGTGCTCTTTTTCTGCATACAGACATCTTATGAGAATGAGACCCTTTCTCCCATATAAATGTGTGTATATATATATATGTTCTTTCTTTGCTGTGCAGTACTGTATGATTTTATCTGAAACCCCATGCTTAATGAGAAAGGTATACATTTAAGATGTTTTCCCATCCCTTTTGCGAAATGGTATGTAAACACTTGAAATTTTTTAATACCAATTGTTTCTGAAATTTTTCACAGAAAATACTTTGCAGAAACTTGTCTTTCTTTGCTGCAGGATGCTGAAAGACTCATTTTGCTGCAGCAGGAGAGTTTTTGTCAATAACCAGGTTTACCTTACACTCAGTTTTGTTACAGTGAGTTGTCTGAAGCATGGAAACCTTTTTAGTTTAGCTTTAATTTCAGAAAGCAGTAAAACCTGACAGGTTATTTAGTTCTAAGTGCGCAGTTCAGAGATTTGAAGGTCTGAAACCTAACCCCATTTTGTCCAGGTTTATTTAAAAAGGACTATTGTTTTATAAAAAAAAACATACACATCTATCTTTGCATTAAGAATGAAACATTTGTATATCAATTTATAAAAAGGTTGGAAAATAAACAATGCAATAAATTAGCAAATTGCCTGCGCTTACTAGCCGCATCGCAAAGCCAGTTTTCCCAATTGATAATATGGTTTACTAAAGTTCCAACTGAAAGAGGCAGGACAGGGTCACTTCAGATGTTTTTTTTTCATTTAGCTGTTTAATGCTTGGTAAAGTACTGAAGATTGGTATGTGTAGTTCTCCTGAGTAGCTACAAAGAAGGAATATATAGATGTACATCAACATAAATTTACAGTAGTTGTGATTTTGTTCATAACATCCCTGTTCATGTACAGTAAGGCAGTGTCCCAATTTTGCACTGTGTCCTAAACCCTTCCTCCAAGTCCGCAGTTCAATGACGTTGTGCCAGTGTGGACTTCAAGTTAGTGAGAGTTCGAAGGGGCACCATTATTAAGAGCAATAAGGCACCCTTTTGTGACTTATCACTCGTTAATCGGGTCAAGGTCAAAATGCTGCCTGTTGTTGATGCTTCATTCCCAAAGGCTGAGTGCAGCGGATACACTTCTTAAATTTCATTCTCTCGCAGTTGGGTACAAGTGATGTCATCTCATCTATTCCTGCACAGAAGTAGTGACACGTTGTGCTCATGTTGTTAAGGCTCGACTCAAAACAGGCGAAGTATACTAAGGAAACCTTACAAATATTGCTCTCTTTATTCAAAGCTTTGTATTGCTAAATGTGTTTAATCTCGTCTGTTCCAATACAAAAATGACAGGAACAAAAATGATGAGGAACCCGTTCATTCAAAGCAAGCTCAAAGCTTTGTACTTTTAAATACTGTATGTGTACTGTTAAATACTCAGTGTACCAAATACACTGGAGGTAAACGAATATTCATCATTCGAAGTTGGGTGATGTAATTAAAGCTTTTGTCAAAATGTTGTCCTAGAATACACACAGAACAAATATAAAATATTCTATTTTTTTCATAAAATAGTACGCTTCTAAAAACTGTAAAGAGTTCAATTTTACTAACACGTGAATATTTTATTTTCCATGGAAACGTCTCTACGCTTTCCTAGGCTAGAACATGAATTGTTGCCATTCTGCAGGGAATTCGGGGTAGTTCCCTTCAGGACGCACTGGGGACGCTGCTGAGCACCCCTGGGAAACAGATCTAGAAATGGGGCACCCTGATCCCTTGCGGACTTGAACGAGAACGCTCAAATGAAGGGTGCAAGACCAGTTATGTACATATTGGGACACGGCCTAACTCTGGTCCAATTTTGGGTACTTGAACATGCTAAGGAGCTCATTTCTCTGACTTCACAAATGCTGCACAGGGTGTCTAGACTTAGCTGCAACCTACAGGCAAAGAATAAATGGTAAAAGTGAGTGGCTAAAGTTTTTTTTTTTTACCCTTGACTTTATTTGTGAAAGATTAGAACTACCCTTACTGAATTGCAGTGCAAATGTTTTCTAAATGTGCAATTCTGAAAGAATTGCAATCAATACATAATATAAAGTAAAATTCACTTATAGAATAGGTTGTAATGTATTAAGTACTAATCATTTATTGGATTTTATGTATACTTATGGTTTTTCGGTCCTGTGAATTTTTTATATAGTAAAGTGTGTGTTTACACTTGTTTAAATAATGAGGCTGCATAAAATTGAGACAGTTTTATTAGTTTGCATGAATACACTTTAGTCTTCATATCACTTTTCATAAAGGATCTATTTACTTTAGTCAAAAGCTGCGAACACATTTGAATAGGGACTAGTCAGTTTTACTCTTTGTAACATTAATGACAGTCATTCGCTACACTCATAAGTTGATAACCTAGAGTAAGACACACTTTGATTTTTTCCATTCAGTTCAAACAAAATACCGCCCCCATTTTAATGTGTCCCTGCACTTGATACAGTATGGCTCTTTTGTAAACATAATAAGAGACATAGAGCACTTCTTTCACAGTTTGGTCTCCATTCAATGTAATGTCCCCTGAATTCCTCAACATATTTCTGTCCTGATTCACAGTGTGTGCCGATTCAAGCATCACAGGCGACAGGTTGTCCAAGAGTAAAGGAAACCTTGACATTCAACATTTTGTCAAAACAAAATGTGCATTCTAAAGTTATGGCAAAGCCACAGCAGAGAATTAAGCACTTTTTCACAAGGTACTTACTGATGATCAGCATAAAATATATGCTTTTGATGTGAGAATGTTTTTCTTTTCAGTATTTTTAGTTAGGGAATTTCATTCAAGAGTTTGTGGGGAACATTTTTGGACAGATGGCTGCTGTTGCATAGAAAGTGGTTAAACACCCCACAACAGACTGTTAAAAAAAAATAATCAGATGTACTGAATGTCAGTTCAATCAGAATAGTGTTAATGTTAAAAGGTCAAACCTGATACCAACTTTAAAATGTTTTGCATTTTTAATGTTAGTTTTCATAATGAAATAGATTTAAACCTTGATCTGCATTTTGTCTGCAAACGTTCTGCAATTTTATATTGATCTAAGAAATGTGTCTAAGTATTACAATGTACAGTGCTGATTCATTCATCAGTACAATATGTTAATGAAATGGTGGATAATCAGAATAATGGGTGCATATGGAATTACCAAAAAATAATTTAAATAACTGCAATCTGAAACAACCCAGCATTTGTTTCGATGTAGAGTTGGTAAATGGCTTTGGCAAAAAGTACTATATTTTTCAGGAAAAAAACGTATTAAGATGTTAAACCAAATAAAACAAATTAATGCATAAAATCTATGGTATCTGTCTATTTCTATAGTTCTCAATTTTTACTTCATCTTGGGGGGAAGGGCTTAAACACATTATGATTTCACAGCAGACAGCACTGCACTAAAACAGGACAATGATTGGAGGGAAAAAACATACTGAAGCACAATTAAAAACTTTATAAATAACACTAAATATACACACCAATTAAAGCTGTTTTTCATAAAATTCAATATTGCACATTTAAAATGATGTCTTAATGTATGTACATATATCCCATGACACTGTATGGTATAAAGCGGTTTGGCAAATGACATGACATACATATACTGGATATGTACAGTCACATAGATTAAATAATGTAACGATATATTAAAAAGGCATATGCTGTTGTAGTACTTAGTTAACCAGGCTGTTTAATTTTAGGACTTAATGGATAAACTTTATATTCAGTCAAAAGCAGATTTTATGACCGTCTCTACAAATGTTCTCTCCACAGCAGAGAAAAAACAAATATTTGTAGAATGTTACAACATGATTAGGTATTTATTTGCCCAGTCTGCTGCTCAAACCCTACTGTTTAAATGCGTCATGCAAGAAATCAGGTACATTAAAAAGGCATTGCTTGTCTGTTTCTTTCTGAGAGTTTTGTTTGCCAAGAGCAAAGGAAATATATTTTCTACAACCTCATGAGAAAACAAGTGATTATCAGCAGAAAGCAGTTTGCAAAAAGCAAAAAGCAGTACTTTTGTACTTGATTTTTAAATCTGTACTTTTTTTAAGCTTTTCTTAAAAGAAACCATGGATTTCTCTAAAAGTTGTATTGTCATTCATATGAAGTCATGGTTACAATTGTGCATTATTTTTAATGGGTTAGCATTACCATTTACTGAGTTACCAAGAGTTTCTGAGGAATGATTAGTTGTGCTTTTTTAGGTCTTTAGTATTTGCTGGGCAGTTCACAAACGCAAAACCCAGGCAAGCCATACCAGCAGAAGATCTCCTTGAATGTCTTCCGCATCTCCTGACTGCGGAATGCATATATGAGTGGGTCAATCACCGAGTTGCACATTATCAGGATGAGGTACATGTTGAAATGAGACATGAAACAGACACAATAGGGGTTGCGGGGACAGGCGATCATGAGGATCAGATGGAGAAAGAATGGTGCCCAACAAACAACAAAAACACCAAGCAAGATGGTCAATGTAATTGCTCCTTTCATGTTTGCACCCTGGTGGATTGTGCCATTGCCTGGCAGGGCAGCAATTCTCTTCATGTGCAACCGCGCCAACATGAACATGTGCACATAAAGCGAGGCCATGAGTGCAAGCATGGTAAAAAACATGGTAATAAGGCAAATGATGACAGTAGTGCTTTCAGAATAAATGATGAAGAGAATTCCAGAGATGGTGCAGAATGCCCAGATTGTTGTGATGATCATCATGGCTCTCCTCATTGTCATGATGTTGTGGTAACGCAGGGCGTAGAAGATTGTGATGTATCGATCAATCGCAATCGCCAGCAAACTACAGATGGAGGCCAGGAGAGAGCTGCAAATCATAGAGTCAAACACGTTGTCCATGTTTTTGATCAAATTGTCCTGGATGGTCAAGTGTCCGCTGGTGATAAGGGCCATCACAATGGTTTCCCATGCATTGGAGACGCTCACCAGCATGTCAGCCACCGCCAGGCTGCAGATGAAGAAGTACATTGGGGAGTGGAGGTTCTTGTTCTTTATGATTGCTGCAATAACCAGAATGTTTTCCAAAAGGCTTACAATTCCAAGGGTTAAAAACACCTCTGTGGAGATCAAAAGCTGCTCATAACATCCTGAAGAGGAGTCCTTTTCATTTGAGTCATTGTTGACAGTAAATGCACCTGAGCTGAAGTTCCTAGAATGATAGTTGTGTATCAGTCCGTGGTGGTGTGTAGTGTTCATCTTGTGGATAGTGAGCCCAGTGTTACTCAGAACATTTTCATTATGTATTCCCTTAAATCTGTGATGAGGATAGCATTCCTTACATACCCTGTGCACAACTGAGTTTTCTTAGAAATTGCATCTTGCACATTGAGCAACTCAGCAGTCTTACTGTATCCAGAAACATATATTTGGCAGCATTTCAAAGGGTAAAACACGAGTGTACTTACTGGATCACGGTGAAAACCTCCCACTTGCCAACTTTTAGCTCTTGGAAGCAGCTTCATATTTTCATGACATTTGTTAATTCACAGCTTCAGCCTTCTCTACACGTTTAATTCCTCAGCTGGTTTCACAGAGGGGGGAAAAAAGGTAGCAAGCAAAGTAACATTTGAAGTGGTCGTTGTAATGTGCTAATCCTCCACTGTCAATGAAGCACACAGTAAGCGTACCATCCTTTGGCAAGCTAAAGCTACATCTAGCTGTTTTATAATAGTCTACATTGCACTGTCTGGTCTGCCTCCTCCCACTGCTTCTTTGTCAGCCAATAAAAATTCAAGTTGACAAAGGAGAAGAAAGCTGAAGCTGAAGCCTTTTTTGTATGGGGAGGGGGTCTAATAGAGTAACTCATCTAAATTATGATTTAATTTTAAACTCCATTTATTCTTTAAATGTGATTTTCTTCAAGTTTGTTTTACTAAGAGCTCCAGTTGTAAATTCTGAAGATTATTTTTTGAATCCTGAAAGTTAACTGCACTGTAATTTTATGGATCACGTGTGTAGTTCACATGGTTTACAATTATGCAAAAAATAAATAGCTAAATTGTTAGATGCTTATGTTTTTAGGGATGCAACATTAACAATATGGGTTGTTTTAGTCAGTTTTAAAAAATCAATTTCCAAAAACAGCAAGTTTTGAAATTTGTTCAATTTGAGTTTTCAATCCATATAATGTGGAAAAGGTGACTACTAAATACTATATATTTCCCTTAACTTCTTTAGCATAATATTAAACTTAAATAGATTACAAAAAGGAAAGTAAGAAGTGGTAGAGACTTAATAAAACCTCTGTTCTCACACAACAAAACTGGATGAATAATTTTAAAAAAATAAGCAATTATTGGATAAAGCAGACAGTGATGATTTTTCTCCAAAATGGAGTTTAGTTATTCAGCTAAATACAAATCTGTCATTTATATTTTTCCAATTTCTTTATAAAACAGAATTTCAAAAGATTGAACAATGAATTCTTCAGAAAAGATGTAGAAATCTTATCTAACAGTGGAAACATTTGTACATATTGCTTATCTACCCCAAAAGAATGCACTGTTTTGGAAACATTTTCTAGATTGGTGCTCAGTGAAAGGATTGCATGTGTCATAGTGTCATTGCCTTGCGTCTCCTTGTCTTACTCAAAACCGGTCTCTTCCAACACTTCTGTATCGATGGAGGGTAAACAGAGATCAAAAGTCTGCTGTTCAAGGTAGTGATGAATACAGCTCTGACTCAGCCAATAAAACAAAATGTTCAAATTTATTGAAGTAAATTAAATGCATCGTGCTGTTACCTCTGGGTAACTCCTCATCTCTAGGATCTACAGTACACACTTAGCAGTCCCTCAAACACTTAATGGTTAATCTCTCTCCTACCCAGAAGTTAAAGCATGAGCTCCCTACTGCCTTTTCTTGCAACACAGGCTTATCACTATTACTCAGTGATGCTGGATTTGACCACCTGGATGTACTGTACTATAAGGGTTTCACTCACAAAACAGATTTGATGGAATTTTACTCTGAGTGTGTGTAAAATGTTTTTTTTGCTTGCATTATATGCAGCTGATTTCCAAAAGCTCCAATAGTAATGTGGATATTTCAATAGCCACTTCACAAAACTTTAATATCTTAAGAATCTAAAGACAATTAACATCTAACAATTAAAATCACAGAAATTTCAAATCTCCAGAAAGAAACAAATGCAGAATCAGTATTGTATTACAGTTAAGCATTTACTCACTTGAAGACCATTCAGAAAGTTTTTGGTGATTGATTGTTGAAACTATAGCCTTGTCCATCGTCAGCTGCAAAAAAGGGAGCAGCAAAACTTTATTAATCCAGATGTGAAAATGTCATACAACATCAATTAATGTGTTCAATAATATTTCTTCAGTTATTTTCTTCCAACCTAATTCTGCTAATTATCCTGAAAGCATCTTTATACTTTATACTGTACTGAAATGATCCCCAGTGCGGTGTTGTATTATGAACTTTTAAGTCTTATGTGTAGTTTCCCTGAACATACAGTAAGAAAATATACAAATGGGAGAGGGATATTCTAGCTCTGGTTTTGTTTGGTTATATTAACAAATAATTGAGGATCTCATCAAATTTCCTGCAATAAACCTAGGTATTTGCTTTGATAACTTGCAGTGGAAAAATGTTAAATAGACTTGTAGATTAATTACAAAACAATTGCAAATATTACAAAATTCTGAAAATGCTTCTAAAGCTTTAAGCTGCATAGTATTTCTATATAAAGGATGCAGTGTAACTGCAAATATTGTAATGTTGCAAAAATACATTTGAATTAACTGAAAGGGGAATTTTCAGCTCGGGTTGTGCACATTCATTCAAGCCTTACAGTGTGTGCAGATATTAGACTTCGTAATGCCACATGAAAATGAATTTCACAATTACGTGGCACTATCTGTAAATAAGTGACAAGCTATCACGGACTAAGGCAGCTGTTCCAGAATCTTGGCTAGGTAGATCAAAAATACTTTTATTCTATTGCACATCTGGGGAACTGATGCCAAGTGTATCTGGTTCCTAATTGGAAACTTCCTCTAAAGAAGCTCTCCAGCGTAGAGATTATCCAACATAATTGGCCCACACAATCGGTTAACTTTTATTCAGGCCTTCTGAAACAGGCTGACAGGAAAGACAGTCACTCAAAGCCAATTCAGTGTAAAAAAACAATAAACAAGTTCATTTTTTACAAAGTACTTTCAGACACTGAGACAAAAGATCTCCAGTGTGGGCACTCACTAACACTGCAACAGATTTAGAAGTTCTTAAATATTTTTGGAATAAATAGGTGAAGATAAAACATAGATGGAATGTCATGCATAATTAAATAGTAGAGATCACAAAATCTTATTCTAATTTTATATATACAACAATGTGGAAATGTATTAGAATACCTTAAAAGAATCTGCCTGTGTGAACCTTGTATACAAAAATTGATTTTAAATCAATTTCTTGCAGATTGGTTGACAGGTATGCTACAACTGCAATGCTTAGCGAACAGATGGTAACTGTTTTGTAGTCAGCTTTAATACATTTTTCACAGGTGTAATTGTGACTAGCAAATTTATCATGATGTATAGCTAGTTTCATTTATGTACATTTAGAAAGGCTCGTCATAAAATGTAAAGTTCTTCTAGTATATGCATAGCTTTTTTAAAGGTGTGCTGAGATCATGCACACTACTAAATGTGTGTGGGTATTTGTCGGGTGACTGCATATGGTTGTAATTTCATATCTACAGAACAGTAAATTTCATATCAATATGTAAAGATGCATCAGGAGGAAAAATCATCTAAAGATGCACTCCTTAGGTGGTAATACTGTATGTATTAGTAGTTCAGGTGGGTAGCTGCGTCAGCATGTGTAGGCTGGAAAGGAAAAAGTAATAGGTTTATTCCATACTGAAAAAAAGAAGAAAGAGCGGCTGTGGAGCCTTCTTCAGGTGTGAGAGAGACAGGGCAGTAGGCAAAGTAAAGTAAAGTAGCGGGAGAACAAAGGTTGGGAGGGAGGAGGAGTGAGAGGCGGGAGCAGGGGACAGAAAGAGAGGCCAATCAAGAGGTGTGAAGTCAGAATGGGTGCAGAGAGGTGTGAAATGAAACTTCCAATGAATGGAGAAAATACTGTATGTATTGTATATTCTTAACATGAGGTACTGTGTGTTTTGGAATGTAAGAATTTAGTTTTTGAAAGGCATTTTATCACTTAAAAACATCTAAGAGAAAACAATATACAGAGAACTTTAAACCCTAAAAGATTACATTTGGTTTTGCGTGATACTGTTTCCATGCTTGCGCAAGGACTAATCTAGCTATATTAAACTTTCACTTTCAGCTGAGAAATAAACTAAACTTACTAAACAGTGTGACAAGTTGACAAGACAAACAACAAACCTTGAAAATTACATTTAGAATGTTTTCTTAATCAGAGTATGTAAACAGTAATTTCGAAAAGCAAACTTTCCATTTAGTTTGTGATAAAGGCAATATGGGAATCTAAATTTTGCACTGCTTTTTTTCTACCAGAAATCTGTAGGCGATTGTCGTAGTAGTATGCAGTTTTTTTAAATAAAGCAAACACTGCATGTTGCAGTTCCAGCAACTGGCCACCAGAGGGCCACCCCAACCTCTAGTGCCTACTTCATCTGTACAGCAGAGGCGCAGAGCATGCAGATGGCAGTAGCCAATCCCTGCTTGCCAAGTGTCCCTACCTCACCACGCCTCCCCTCCCCAAACCTATTTAAACTGTACTTTGTACAGGCTGTGTTGAATATTGTTTTCAACTCTGAGCTCTTGGTTGAGACTTTCTTAAATTCTTCCTGGACTCCTTGCCTGACTTTTTGAATTTTGGCCTGTTTCCCGACCTTGGCTTTTGGATTGTGTTTCCCTTGCTTGATACTTAATTTGTCTTCTGGGTTCGGACTTTCGCTTGCCTCTTGACCCTGGCCTTGGATTTCCCTCCTTGACTGTTTTTAGCTTTTTGTGATATTGAAACCTGCATAGGGTCCATTCCTTGTTTTCTGAGCTGTGGACCAGCTTAATATTGCAGTAATCTATTTAATCTTTAGCTAAGTTTTTCTTCACTTTATATAGCCATATCTCTTATTTGTGCATGTAATTTTATGGTTTGGAGTGTGTGGCTACTCTGGGTGTGCTTTCGTGCTCGCTGCTTTGTTTTTCCCCCCAAAAATGATCTTGCTTGGCTTGTTATTCAGTTATTAGTGTGATTATGCCCAACACCTCCTCCATCCCCCCACAAACATGGCCGCCTACAGCTACAACCCCCGACGGCTGCTCACCCACCCATCCCCCACAGCTGCCACTC